TTGATTCAACATAAAATAACACAATATATTAAATTAACATACGGGTAGGTTAAACATGTAACATAAAAATTTTAACAAGGACCGATCTTAACACAAAATGTTTTTTTACTGTGTACAAAAAATGAAGAATTTCTAGTTAAGTTATATTCTATGTTTTCGGTTCGCTCGTCGTCGTTATTGTCGTCATCCGTCTCTTCTATGCGCGAGCGAGCGAGTCCGCTCCTGTGGCGCGCCCGGATAGTGGCTTCTCTCGGTGAACGTTACAAGTTATGTCATGTAACACGCGCTCGCGATGACTTATCGGCCGACGTCGTCGAGGTCGCCGGGACTGAGAATAGGAGAATAGGTCGAACACGCACGGCTACGGATTTAATATCGGCGACTGTGTGACTCGGAGTCATCGCGACGCGAATGGACCGCGTCTCAGTTGAATACGAAATGTCTGCTCGCGCTGATTGTCAAATATGTAAGAAGTTTATTAAATGTGAAAATCGAACGCGTATTATTTAAACTGCGTCCCGAAATCATGCTCGACGATTAGGTTAGCATTTAGTTACCAATTTCACAGAGAAAAAGATTTCCTTGGATTTAATATACATGATTGACTTGGGAATTTTTAAGTATAAACAATATAATTTAATATCAAATAATATTTTGTTTGAATGAAAATGTTTCCAAATAAACCATGTTTGACAGAAGAAAGTATTATTTAGAGGAAATAATAATTCCTTTTCAATAAAAAAAAAACTTGTTTCATTATATATTATTCATTATATATTAAATATTGTTCCATTAAAACAAAGAAGTCCTTTCATATTTTTTTAACATAGTGTTACTTCTTTCAAATAATTTACTGTTTATAATAACCATTGTAACGTTTAGATGAAAATACAAAAGAAATATGTTATTTGACGTAAAGATATTTATATTGTTTGAGAAATCAAACAACTATTTGTTGAGCCAAAAGTTCGTTTATTTATTCTATATCAAGAAGCAAATTTATTTCAATTAAAAAAATTTGATTATATCCAAAAAAATCTTTTTCTCTGTGTATGATAAAATAAATAAAATAAATAAGTTTTTATCTTTTCTTTTTGTTCTGATTGGTCAATTAGATGCTAATCTATCCAAAACTACGGTTTTGGAACGCAGCCTAAGAACCTTATCAGAATGGCTGACTTGTACTTTTAAGACAATGTTTTATGCCTTCGATCTTTGTTTAAATCATCTTTTTTTTTTACTTTTTTCATTGTAAGCAGTCATCAACCATAAATAGAACGATGTTTTAGTTTGACTCAAGACACAAAACAGTCATTGTGCGTTACTTAAAAACAAAGACCTAAGACATTGTCTTTAATCGATAAATCGGCCATTTTGTCCAAGGCTCTTAGTTACAACCTTCAAATAAACGAAACTCAGATAACTCTGAACATCGAGAGATCTCTTCTTTTCCGAGAAGTTTTATCGGCGAAAGAAGCGAAAAAAAGGAGACTACATTTCTATCGGAAACTACAAACTCTCTCGCTTCATTTCCACGCTATCGTTTAGAACCGTATTTGCGCAAATTGCAAATTTTTTTGCGCACGTCAACGACCGGTTACATCGCGCACGAGCGCAACGAATCAATTCTCAGGATCTGTCAAACCGCCTGTTTATTTTTCGACATTGTTTACGGCGTTCGTTTCTTTGTGCACGCACGCCGATCGATCGACGACAGATCGTTGGAATTACACCTTAGCCGCGTGTTTCTTTGTATTCTTATCAACAGGTAGATTACGGATTTCCGACAATTGCGTTTAATCGCTGCAATCTTGAGACGTACGCGCGTGTCGTGTTCTCTTTTCATTAAGTGCAAATGGAGATTGACTTTTTACACTGGAACGGTGTAAAAGATCCGACCTCTTCAGATATTGCGATAAAATTATCATGTTTTTCACACGGAAAAAAAACTCAGTCCTCGCGACTGAATAGAGACCGGATAAAAACTCGATAACGAGGAATGAAAACTCGATGACAACACAGAAAAAATGAAGTAGCTCCCACAGTAAAACACTACATAGTAAAAAACATTTTGTAACTGCCTTAAAATCGGACTTTGTTAAAATTTTTTCTGTGTCAAAATTCTTTTGTGTTAATTTAACATATTTTGTAAATTTAACATATATGTAATAATTTAACATATTGTGTATTAATTTTTTAGATATTTGTGTTACTTCTCAGCATATTCACCTTGTGTTAAATTAAACAACACAAAAATTTGAGCGGACCGTTTAGGATACGTAAAATGTGTTAAATTTAACAAAATTTTTTATTGTGTAGCTTTCTCAGATAAAAATTAGCTGTCCGTATAATATAACTGAAATCTAGTTAATTTCGTTAATTTGTTTGTGTCCCTACTTAATTTTTAGTTTCCTCACAGCTAAGAACTAAGTCTGGTAACTAAATTTCAGTTATATGGACAGCTAATTCTTTTTTTCCGTGCGCGCGACTGAGAACATCGCGTGAATAGCTGTGTTAAAACTCAGTTGAGACAGCTGAAAACAATTGACTGAGTGGAAAATTTTTGTCTTCGGTCCCTAAACAATGAAAAATCCAATTACACCACGGAATTGTTTTTTCCCTGCGCGAGAAATTAAAGTCCTGTGTACTTTGTCCATTACGCGTGAGGAATTCTGGAAACGTTGTATTTTGACATTTCAAGATCTACGAAGATCTCTTTAGCCCAGATCTACAATAGTTATAGTATAGCTTTTAGCCAATTGCTGTGGACACTGAATTATAACATATTTCCAGCAAAAAAGCATTTCTAGTATTACCAGATCTCGTAATTCTTAAGATTTAAGCGTTATTGCGACTTTTGATAGCGCGGAAAACGCCTCAGAAATTACGATAAATTGACTGCGTTCAGCGGAAAAAGCGATTAGTGAGCAGTCATTGGTTATTGGTCTCTACTGCTAGATCCTTAAATCTAAACCAATTACGTTGACGAATTACTCAACAGTTATGCAACCGTTATGTTCGCCGAACGCAATCACTTTATAGTATAGAGCAAAAGACTAAAAGCTTACTTATAGTTACAGTTTCGGAAAAATCCTGTTTATCCCCAATTTTCCCGCGGAATTTTTTAGTTTCTTATCTTCTTTACGGAACAAAGTGAATGTGGTAAGTTTTAGCCAAACACGGTGAATTTTTTTTAAACGAATTTTTGAAACCTGCTAAAAAAATTCGTGGAAAAATTGAGAAAGAAGAAAAGAACATTTTTTTTCGACATCTTAAAATTATAAGCTTGCTACATCTATTGTGGATCCGGACTTAAACGTCACAAGAGGAAGCCTCCGGAGGAACGGGAAAAAAAAACCGTAAGATCCGACAAGCAAGGCTCGAAGACGAGAATGACTCCCTGAAAGCGCCAATTTACAAGTTTCAACTCCGCGCGTGTTCGTGCTATCGCGTTGTTGATCATTCGTCGCGCAGGTATATATCCTCTCTCTTTCTCCTCGAGGAATCGCGGTACGCTCTCGTGTCATCCGTTCGTCAAATTTACTTCTCCATCAGTGCTCCCCGCTGCCATTTCACACACGCAGGCACACGCACGAACTCACGCCGGGCTTTTCGAGCCGAAGAATTGCCGGTCGATTACGCTTCTAACCTTTCGAACGGTCGTTTCGAGTAATCTACAGGCTTCTCGGAACTGCCACCACCATCATCGCCGCACCGAGGAGAAGAATAGTCATCGCTGAGTAATTACGTCTATACAGCCGGTCCACGGCAGGTAAAGGTCGCTCGTGGGTCCGAAGGTTACCTCCTCCTACTTATCTACCTACCGAGATCGCGCGCATCGACACACATTTATTCTCGCCTCGCGCGCGCGGTGCATCGGCATCGCCTACTCGACGTCGAAATTGGGATACGATTCTTTCTCGAATACGCCAGAGGGAGACGGAGATAGAGAGGCATGAGGGACGTCCGAAAATAAAATCGCACACGTAGATGCACGTGCATGACTGACGGAACGACGCGGCTTTGTTTTAACGATTACGTTACTAAACTTGGCGTTTCCTTCTCTCTCTCTCTCTTTTGTATGCAGGATGTTCCGTAGTTATCGTACGTTCCACTTCGAGGTCTGCTTCAAACGATCCATAATTCGCGAACGGCCGAATTCGGAGAAAAGTTCTACCCCGAGTTCTTTAAATTTAAAATCGCGAGACGCACGCCGGTCTGTCTTCGGATTCCTCGAGTAAAATCGGTCGAGAGAATCGCTGGAAAAATGAACACCGCGACGGAGATGGGAACGTCCTCCTGCAGACGAGAGCGCGGTTACGTCATAGGCGCGACGGAAGACGAGCGTGAACTTTGGCTGGTCGCGCGACCAGAACGCGCTGGTATCGTACCCTTTACTCAGGTAGCCGCGACATCACCGTTGACCGTCTGAAATGGCTCGCGCGATCGGCAGGAAGCCCGCGATCTCGCGGTGACACCATTGAGCGGGCACAAGCAGGCTGCGATACAAAGTGTGATGCTGCTCCTCAATCGGATCCGATTCTCCGAGTTCCCCTTGTTCACATTACCAAGCCGGAATTCGCGACTCACACAACCCGGAGAATCTCCCGCGAAAGGAGGGCGAGAAAGAAAAAGAGAGGAGAGAAAACCGCAAAGCAAGTCGCGGAAAAGCTCGCTCGCATGTCACTCCTCGTCATCGAGGACGTCATCTTCGAGGCGACGACGCGACGAGACGTGCACACGGGTCGCGAAAGCCGTTCGTTCGCATCGCCTGCGTGCCAAGGCAGAGACAGGTGCAGGGCTCGAATTTCGATGGCAAAAGGAAGGCACGAGCGAGCGGCCGGACGAGGTGTAGAAAGTGCAGCTGAAACGAGCGGACCCACTGTTGCGAAGACGTGTGGGCGCGAGCGAGCGAGCCCGCGACCCGTCGGATTTTCACACGCGTCGGTCGAACTTACGAGGAGCGGGCGAGTTAGAGCGATCGCTCGGCAAGGACTCACCTTCGTTGACAGCAACGGCGATTGGTCCGTCCACGCGTCATTGGGACCGTTCATAGCGTCGCACTACCAGCCACTCCGTCGCGCACCCGCGGGTTAGAGTTCATAACCTCTTCTAACCTTTATCTTTTCACCGTCTCCTGCCTCCTTTCCTCCCCTGGCCACCGCACTTAACCCCACCGCCCATCTTCCCACACGTATCCGACATCACGTACCACCGCTGCGTCATCGAATAATGGACGAACGGCGGCGGCGGCGCGCAAGACGCCCGAACGCCGCGCAGCGGCGTGATCGGGAGTCAATCGGAACCGCTGCCATGTTGATACGCGTGACGTCAGTCAAAGCGGGATTCGTTCGATTGGAACGAACGGCTGTGCTCAGCAGAGGAAGCTCACTGAGCGCGCTTAGCGATTTCTGTGACCACCCCGATGGAAATATCTTTCTGGAAATATAAGTGGAATTTTACTCAAATGTATTTTTTAAGTTCTCTCTATTAATTGATCCCATTTCGTTACCATTCCGTCAATGTTCCAGTAAAAATTCAATTTACAATTAAATTCAGTAAACTTCATATGCATTTAAAGAAAATTTGTTATTACTTTTCAACGGTATAATTTAACTTTCCTTATACTTCACAATATTATATTCAATTTCATGAGGGAAATTATGATTCACTTTGAAATATATTCAGTAATTTTTCAAAAACTTTAATTTCATTTTTCGATCGATTTCATAGTATTTTCAGCAAAATATTCCCATCAGGATGGAGTATTCTTTTAGATTCCTGAAAAATCCAGAGGGATATACTAATCGGAAGTAATAATCATTAAGCGCTCACGAAGTTACTTATTCCACTAAACGCCAGCAATATTACATATAACGCTACATACTACAAGTAAATGGTCGGATGTTATTGAATGTACATATTGTGACAAACAACTTATCGACACAAAAAAAATACGAAAAAAGATTCAAAAAATATAATTAGATTCTTTAGAAATAATAAGGTAATAATAATTAAGAAACGACTGAAACGCGAGAGATCTTAATGTTTGTTTCTAATGTAATCCCACACATGTACGTAACTTATTTAAGATTTAACCAAGTTCACAAGATATCAGCATAAATTAACTCAAGCTTTTTCAAAAAAAGGAAAGTACCGAGTATATATGCAGATCTATATATAACAAACAAACGTTTCCCGAGGTATCAAACTATGAAAAAAATTAGTTTATTGCAAATAGTTCGTACAATGTGGGGTACATACAGCTTTCTGTATACTTTTACACGAAAGCTTTACAGCTAAATATAATATGACTACTGCTAGTATCACTACTGTCGTCATTGATCGTAGGTCTGTTCACTTTTTAGCTGCACATTCGACGCTTTCTTGTCTCTTTCTCTCTCTCCGAAGCCCAAATATATATCTATTTCATTTTTTTAAAGGTAGAAGGTGCAACACTAAAATGAACTTATGTTATCAAGATACAATTTGAGTCAAATAGATATCCCATTTTCTATTTTCCTTCTGCCTTGATTATACGATGTATCCGTTATGCAATACATACATAAAAATTATGATACATGCTAATCGCGTACAAAATAAAGAAATAATTAAGCTGCAACATCATGTTGTACGCATATGGTGTACTACAAATTTGGTTGTCGTTAGAAACATGTCCTTGCATCCGGATTGCATCCGATTACGCAGTATAATGTAAGTTAAGGTAAATGTCGATGAATATTTACATAAACGTGGCTATTACATTAAATGATTGCGTAGAGCAATGCGTGTGCATGAACTGGTGTCAGCTATAAGGTGGAATTAAAGCTCGGAGGTACTATGTGTATCAGAGTGTATAAATATAATTACTAATTAAATGTAATTTTTATCGGATATTTAAAAAGCTTCAGAAATTCCCGCAGTCGTTCTGATTTTTCCTGCTCCTTTCTTAATAATAAATGTTTGCACTATGATTAGTGTTACATATTGCACGAGTTCTCCGAAGATGGGGGATATTTAACGTCGGATTATCTTAAAAAACATTGCCCTGAAGAATTTATTTATCTGCTAGTTAATAGTACTTAATTATCTTTGTTGTATATCGTGACACTCGACAGAGATCAATTTTACATCTTGTGTAAAACTTAGTAAATGTAATTTCGCGAGAATTTAACGCATATATCACCATACATGTATATTGTTATGTACATGAACACTTTCGTCAATGTCTTAGCATTGTGGTAAAAATAATACTAATGAAGATATTTTATTATGGTAAGTAGATATCCTCTCATTGAGATGACACGTTTCGGGGGAGAATTATATTGGTAATAGATGAAAGCACGATGTATTAACCACAAATGCCAAAAAGAATCTGGTCAGCTCACAAACACAGTTAACTAAATGATCAACTATGACAGATAAAATGACAGATTAGCTGATGAACATATTACACCACTTTTGATTTCGGTATTTAGATTAGTTGGAGTAACGGTAATGAACATTACATGCAGAAGCTATCGCAATTACATAAATGGTACGTAATTCGGCGTGAAAAAAAAGTAACACTGGCCTACGAATATTACGAAACTTATTCTTAAAGTAATAATTGAATATAGAGAACATATTTAAAACTTACTATGACCGTCGAGACTCTTATGAAAGTACTAAATGACTAAAAACGGGGGAGAACATAATCCCTCGTGAAATCCTTACCCATTAAAAGGAATTTACACATGACATCTTTAATGTCTATATACTATTACCGTTTTTATAGCCTATCACCGCTAAAATTAACAATAGAAACTGTCATTATTAGTAGTGAACTAAGCAAACGCTACACTAACTTATGTCAAATGTAATTAACGTCCGTATGTCAAAGGTACAAAGCACCGTGATGATTTTATACATAGGTTCCAAATATGATTGTTCTGTTAATTATTCCAGCAGGTACCGTCAGTTGATCACAAAGATTCTGCACATTCAATTAAAGGCAGACAGAGTTGCTAGCAGATCTAAAATTCCCATAAGATTCCACGTAAACACCTATCAAAGTATTCTGAAGTTTCAGGGAGGTATTTCGTTTTTTACCTGTAATTTCACATCCATTACATTGTCTCACAGCCTAATCAAAGGGTGCGCATTGTTATTATTCTATTCTATAGGTTGTATTACTTGGTTTAGGGGTATCATCTCTCTCTGGTTAATGGCCAAATACATCCTGACTGGCAAATACCATGTAAAGAAAGCCGTCCGGATCCTTTTCATGTTGGTAGAGCTCAGCCATGGTCGTGCTGCCACTCGCCATTGTCTTTTGATTTACTAATAGGAAAAATGCTTGCGTCGGATTCAGCTCTAGTCGACGCCTGCTCGCAAAGAAAGATATCAACTTACACATCGATGTTCTGTACCGTCATCACAAAATCCTATCAAGTATCTTATGTATCCTGTCACATGCATCTGCAAACATACCTAATTATTCTAACGAGTTCTGCCACAGTCAAGAAATCTGGCACTAGAAATTTAGTCTTGTCCAGAAGCGGCAGTTGATTCTCCCCGGAGAAACGTTCCACAATAATAGGAATTTTATTTGGATGCCGCTCTCGAATTACTTCCGCATCGGCAGCACGTTGTTCTGAATTCACAAAAATAGCACTCATGAGCGGTACCTTCGACTTTTGAACGCAGGCTCTCGTTTCTGCGCGAGCCGAACGCGTATTTTTTTTTTTTTTAACAATAAAATGCCACGAATGTCGAATCTCGTTTCATGCAGATACGAATGCGCGAAAATAACAGAGAACGAATCTCAGAGCTCGAGCAGTCAGTATACGCGAGATCAGCGAGCTGCCTTGTCAATATCGCAATTTCTAACGACAATGCTCCTGAGAAATATCAGCTTCGTTTAACGATTGAACAAGCGTTCGATATTCCTTTGTTTTCGGCGAGTGACGCAATCCCGACGATGGATACTCACCGAACAATCGTATTTTCCTGAAACATTCCCGGTGCCAGCTTCGTTATACCTCGTGGCGATATTACACAATGTTACACAGCAAAAATCGCGACGACAATGACGAACGCGAGAAAAACAATCGCGCCTTGTTCGGCGACGAAATTGCCGATCACCGTTTTACGCCGACGTCCCTTCCAGCCGAGAGGCAACATATTGTCGCGTCATCTCGCGACAATACGTCGTGCGAATGCGAAACATTCGAGGACGAAAGACAACAATATGCCAGTCCGTATTCGAAGTATATACGCACCCCTTATTACCGTATCCCTTCGACCCTCACTCGGCCCACTAACAGCGCCCACATCGCGCTTGATGTGCGTACGAACAACGATTACTCACCGAATGAGCGTTTCTGCTTATACGTCTTCGGCTTCAGACTCATTTTCGTTGTGACGTTTACGGCGTATGGACTATCAACTACTGCGACGTACGTACGTACGCGACGTGCGCGATATCAGCTGTGAGCTCTCGTTGCACGCTTGGGGCTCGGGACGGGTCAAAATAACGCTGGCGTGCACAGCGACGCCGTATGAGCGCACTGATCGGGTCAGGTTAGGTTACTTGTGCTCGTCGTCGTCGTCGCAATGTATGTACGCAGCAACAACGAACGTCGCGGCTGGTCCGACGGATGGATGAGGGAGGAAAAATCCCAGGACGTGTTGATACTCTCGCAATCGGCCGCGCGTATCATTTTTTTGCAATAAGGTGTTTCTGAACATTCTTATTTCGTCACGTGACAGACAACGAAGAAAAAGAGAGAAAGAGCGTTTGAAACGCATGGTATTGGAATATGCAGATTCAACTTGTACGATCGAGTGTAATTTGTTGTTCGTGTATTTAACTTGTCTTTTTCCCACCTTCTCTGCCACTTATCTCCGCGAGATCCTTTGCCGTATTTCCCTCAGGATCTGTCGACATCTTCTTTGCATCCGGCAGAGAATATTTCATGCGAAGAATTCGAATATTCGCGTCTGATATTTATATATATTATATATATTCACTTTTTTAACAAATTTAATATTAGAGGTTCTGAGACTGTTTTTTTTTATAGCTGAATTAGCTGCACTAGTAGTATTTCCTTCTTTTTTACACGAAGTTACAGCTAATATATTTGTTTCTTTACAAGTTACGAAAGTGTGCATTCATTCAGCGACGAAGAACAAAATTAGGATCGATTGTTTTTGATAAGATTTACTCGACAAGTACCTATTGGACAGACCGATCAACAACAGTCATTGATGCTTATTTAGGCTGCGCTCGGGGAGTACGTTATCAGCGCTAACCTTGTCATTTTATCTTTGTCCCTCATTAGACATACGACATGAACAGAATGACTCATTAGTACTGATCAGCGCTAATAGCGCGCTCCCCGAACGCACCCCTAGGCTACGTTCGGAAACGTCTCGTTGAGAGTAGAGTGGCATTTAATGACTATCGTGATAAAGAAATCTTTGTCCTTTTTGTCCCTATCGATCAATTAAATGCCACTCTACCCTCAGCGTGTTTCCGAATGTAGCCCCAACAGATACCCGTCGGGTAACTCTTACCAAAAAGTTGGAACAATCGACCTCTGGTGTTTGTTCTTTTCAGCTGAACCAACGTTGAACTGCCTGCACTTCAAGTTCAAACTGCAGTTCGAGAAATCTCCACGCACCGAAGCATCTGATAATCTCCTACGTACTCTTCATACGTTTCAATGTGTATTTACATTGTCTCAAACTAGCGCAGCCACTTCAGGTGAAAAAAAAAGCAGACCGACTGTTGGTGAGCCATCGGTTAAACCACCTCTACCTTTGAAACGCGTTCAAACACGGCATCAGCAGACACCCATAGCTCAACACAGAAATCCGGGTATGTCGAATACGCATTGGCAACACACGTTGATGCGTATCGGCAGGTTACAAAAGATCCGAGACGGGAGGTAGCGCTCCGTTTCGAAATGTTTTCGCGCTCCGCGACGCGCGTCGGGGCGCCCTCTGGCGCGAGGCACTCGCGTCGCCCGGATCGAGCGGCGGCCACGTCGACTAGTGGCTCCCCTTGGCGGGCGGACGGCACTTTTTGTCCTCGGCGACAAGGCGAATCCGCCGTCATTGTCCGGCGAACAACGGATGTTCGCCGCGAAGCACCGAGTGCGCACCCGCCTCGCCGTCGATCGCGATCCCGTGATGCCGCGGCAAGCACGTCCGAGAGAAACGAGCCGGACGGACGGACCGTCGTCGTCGCCGCCTACCTCGTAGGAAAGCTTGCCGTCGGCCCGCTGTCGCACGAGATAACCCCGTGCCCCAAAGCGGACGATAGTTCTCTCGGAGTGCAGGGCTCTCTCCCTCTCTCGGAGTCGCGCGATTCACCAGAGGGTCGCGACATCAAGCCGCCGCGCGGCGGCGACCGGCTCGACGAACGCTCGTCTATGTGAAACGACGCGCTCCGCGGCTGGTCGCGCTGTGTGTGTCGCCGTGTGTCGCGGAGACGGCAAGCGGAGCGGACGAGCTGGTACACGCGGACGATCGTCGTGCGCGCGGGACGGACGGGTGTATACCTGCCGTGCGAGTGAGAGTGCACGCGTGGGAGTACGAAGGATCGAAGTGGAGAGAGAAAGAAAGAAAGGGAAAAAGAGAGAGGAGGCACTACGGCAACGGTGAGCGAGCGTTTCCTGGGACCGGCTCTCGCGCGTGGAGGGCGGCGGACTGTGGAGCGAGTACTCCTCGAGCCGCCGCGAAACCGACAGCACCTCCAGCGGCGCGAGAAACAGGCCGAACCTCGGCGGCGAGGAGCCGAGTATCGTGAATGCACACGCGCTGAGAGAGAGAGAGAGAAAGAGAACGGCCCACGCCGTGCGAGCGCGGTAGGTCGCAGCGGGGCGAGAGAAAGAAAGAGAGAGGACGACGCCCCCTCCCGCCTCTGAACACCTGTGCGTGTCGCGACAACGCGTACGGTCGCTCGGCGTTCGGCCGCGAAGCGTGTTCGCGACGACGGCCAGTCGCGACCCGCTCGCCGTGTGTACGTACGCTGAGCAGGAGCGCGCGAGAGAGCATGGAGGAGTCAGCGCCGGAAGCGGCGTCGCGCTGCCGCGCGTAACCGTAAAGATCCGTCCGCGTACAGTGTGTGTGTATGTGTGTGTGTGTGCGCGCGATCTCCCCTCCTGCCCCCGAGCCGGGGCATTAACACGAGAGACCGTCGCGCGCGTTTCCGAGCAGCCGTCGGGGACGTCGAGCGCGCACCGTGCGTGTGTAGTCGAAGTACGCGTGTGTGCGTGTCCATGCCGGATATCAACCCCGTGATCATCGGCGATCTTCGCGCGACATTACGATCGGGGGATAGAAAAAGAATAAACAGGGGTATAGTGTCGGAGAGAGGGGAAGAAGAAGAGAAGGAGGGCAGACGGGTGGACACGTCCGTCCCGTGAGAGAGAGAGAGAACGAATGCATGCGTGCGCGCGTACGGGAGAGCGACATTAAACGATAGAGAGGGCGAGAGAGAAAGGGAGACAGACGGATACACAGACTGGCGGAAAGGGAGGGAATCAGTTTCGCGTGAAGCGAGAGAGAGAGAGAGAGAGACGAAGGAAACAGCAGACGGCGGACCAGTCGGTGCCGTCAGGAGCGACGAATTCGACCAGCGCTCCCTTTGTCCTCTGCGAGGGAAGGACGCAGGAGAGTCGGGAGCAGCTGGCACGGTCATCCCGTCGTCGGCGGGCGACGTGCTGGCCGGATTGATGCCGACGGGACGACGACGCGACGTTCCGCGCAACCGTCGAGGCGCGGCCGTGCTCGCATCGACGCCCGGTTCGATTTTCGCGTATACGCTTCGCGCTGTCGGGTGGACGTCGGCGACGACGTCGCGGTGCATGGTGTTATGTCGCCGCCGGTGGAGGCACGCGTGACTCGACGGTGCCGGTGACGAAAAGCGCGGCTCGAGTGGACGACCGGGGGAGGAGGATGTGAGGCTCGGCCGCGAGCGGTCAGGAAGAAGAGAAGAGACGGGAGCCAGACGTGAGGGTCGCAAGGCGCACCGGGAATCGTCGGCAGATCGGATATCCTGCGGAATCGGCGCTGTAAGAAAGCGGGAAGGCGGCGGACCGTTCGACAAGGAGGCGCGCGACTGTCGTGATTCGCGAGTGCATTCGGAGGTGTGCGAGGAGGAGGTTGGTGCGCGAGATTTCTCTGTGATCGATCGCGAACCGTGCGCGTGTGACTCGTTCTTACGCGGAGTGTTTGTGTTTTTATAGGTCGTGTTGGAGGTGTCGGAGGCAACAGGATACCGTACCTATCACCGGGAGAGTAAGAGAGATAGAGAGCTCGAAGACGTCGAGGACTAGGTTCTGTATGGCCACCGGGAGGCGGGAAACAACACGTCTCTCCGCGAGGTGGTGGAATCGATCGACGACTCGCCGGACGGCAGCAGCGATTTCGAGCATCATCGCGCATCAATCGCGCGGCCGCGACGAGGGCGTAGAAAAAACAACCGGGGGGTATTCTCGGTTCGAATGGAGCAGCGGCGACCGCGTCGACGACAGCGGAGTCGTCAAACTTGCGCCGGCCCGGTGCCAATAACCTCCGTTAGCCGCGGAGGTAGTAGCCGCTTCCTCGCGCGACGATGCGTTCGCCCTCGCACGCGCGACAGATTGTAAAATTAGAAGACGGACGTTCGACGGTGAGAGACGACCTCGTCGGGGAGCGACCGTCGTCGGAGAGTCGAAATCGACTGCCCGGCCGATTCATTAGCGCATCGATCGAGGGTGTCGCGCGTCAACGTCCCGAGCGCTTTGGCGCTCGATAGTTCCTGTCCGTCGGCTTCCGAGCCGAACCGTCGCGGGAGGATCACGACGAATTCTCGTCCCGCAACTTCTCTAGTCCGCTGCATTTACGCGAGGCCCGCCGCACGACCCCGAGGATATTATTAGAGGGATTGATCCGCGCACCCACGTGTGCGAACCGCTCCGTAGTTTCCTGGGGACGCCCACCCGTCCGGGGGCTGGTTGTTTCGTCGAGACTCCGGCGAGAGAGGGGCGAGTCCGTTCAACGAGAAGAGGCAGACAGATAGAGGAAGAGAGAGGGAGAAAAAGATACGAGACTGACGTGATCTCAGCGCAAGGTGGAGGAAAATCGAGGGAGAGTCGGCCCGTGCATTGCCACCTCGAGGAAGCGCTCTCGTCCCGTCACGGCAGTATGCCTCGCACCGACTTCCGGGTGTCCGGCGAACGCGCGAGGACCACGGGTATCAAGGGGGAAGAGAGACACTGATCGCTCGCTCGTGTCCCCGATGACGAGAGCCTCGGACAGGACAGCTAGGCACGCGACAAACAGGCACAAATGTTTAGCTTAGCCCTGTTGGCAAGCATCAAGATGCCCCTCTCCAAACCGAATCCGTTCGTGCCGGGGATCTCGTTCGTGCCGGCGACCTCGACGCAGGCAGCGTACATCTCGAGCAGCGAGAGCAGCAACCACCTGCCGCCGATCGTCAAGGGTACCGGACTGACCCTCAAGCAGACGGGCGGCGGTGGTGGCGATCATCCGGTGCCCTACATCGGCTACCAGAACGTGCCGTGGAAGCCCGGCGACAGTCTGAGCCTGGGTCTGAGCTCGTACGCGAGTCACAACTCGCACTCCCAGCCGAACAGCCAGTCGAGCAGTCCGGTGGTGAAGAACGGCCGTTCCGATGGCAACTCCAGCAGCGAACGCGCGCGCGGCGACGGCGGTGGAGGCGGAGGCGGTGGTGGTAGCGGCGGCGCTGTCGTTAGCGTCAGCAAGCCGAAGACGATAACCGTCACGCCGGAGATCGTGATGAAGTTATACATGAACAAGCTCACGCCGTACGAGCACCACGAGATCTTCAACTACCAGCAGATCTACTTCATCGGCGCGAACGCGAAGAAGCGGCCGGGCATCATCGGCCGGCCGAACAACAACGAGTACGACAACGAACAGGGCTCGTACATCCACGTGCCGCACGACCACGTGGCGTATCGTTACGAGGTGCTGCGGGTGATCGGCAAGGGCTCGTTCGGCCAGGTGGTCAAGGCGTACGATCACAAGACGCACGAGCACGTGGCGCTCAAGATGGTGCGCAACGAGAAGCGCTTCCACCGCCAAGCGCACGAGGAGATCCGCATACTGCGCAAGCTGCGCGAGCAGGACAAGGACAACACCATGAACATCATCCACATGTTCGACTCGTTCACCTTCCGCTGCCACATGTGCATCACCTTCGAGCTGCTCAGCATCAACCTGTACGAGCTGATCAAGAAGAACAACTTCAAGGGCTTCAGCCTGCAGCTCGTGCGCAAGTTCTCGCACTCGCTGCTGCTCTGCTTGGACGCGCTCTACAAGAACAAGATCATACACTGCGACATGAAGCCGGAGAACGTGCTGCTTAAGCAACAGGGACGCAGCGGCATTAAGGTGAGTTAACAGAAAACGCTTGCGCGTCAACTCTTCTCAAATTATCAACGAAGGTGTTTCGTTTAACGTGGTGCTGAAAGAAAGTTTTGCTAATAAGGTATGACAATTTTGTGCGATTATTTGCCGACCAAATATTTGATTATTGCAACCGAACAATTTAATTCTGTACACAGGGGACTCCCTGGAGACACTTAGTCCTTTAGAAGGCTTGATCTCTAGCCGTTATTTCGGCAATGGAGGGATTTAATTTATTTTTCTTGTTAGCAACAGTGTTCATTCTTAACCGTAGGAAACGTTCAATATCATTTTGACAGTTGAGCACCGACAACAATAGAATGAAGATGTGTCACTTTCTGGGGTGTCCATTTTTTTCTTTTCATAAATATTTAAATATTCTTTAAATTGTTAGGTTTTGTAATTAGATTGAAATTCCATAGTGGAATGAAAAAAAAAAGGTTACTTTAAAAAGGTAATTACAAGGTTAGTCAACAAGAATTTATTGCTTAAAAAAAATAAAACAAACATTTAAAAATAGTACTATTTGGGGAGACATGATTCACGCCAGATTGGGGACGCTTGATCCGCGGATCAAGTCTCCTACATCCTAGTAACACAATTCATTGGCGATAAATTGGTTCAATATTGATTATATTGGCATTCATTGGGCAAATATTGCCCGATATAAAGCCAGTCAGACAATCAAAAGTTAGACTAACCAAGGTAAATATAACCTGTCATTTTATTTTTAAAGTTATATTTTGTAACTTGTTTAACTGTATTAATAGAGATTGGTTATGATTATTCGATATCTTTTATTACGTTAATTAAAACATAAGGGTGGCACGATTCCTCGAATCAAGTCTCCCCCATTCCTGGATCAAGTCTCTTAAAATAGGGGGCACTTGGTACATTTCGATTATTTTACTAAAATGTAAATTACTCTACGAATTATTATTATTTTTTAACTTCATCAATACAATTAGATATATTATGAAAGTATTTATGATATTTGCACAAGAATGTTTTGATTTTTCTTTCATTTTTTGAGATATTCAAGAAAATCAATAGGGAAGATCAAGTGCCCCCTACAGTACTGTACGCTCCATGTATACTGTATATTTAGTATACAGTATGGAACTAAATTATTAATTGCAGTAATCAAATATTTAGTCGGCAAATATTCACCAAATTTTACCAAATTTATTACCAAGTCCCTTTCTCAGTGTGGATAAATCCGACGATGAATGAACCCGTCCCACCTCGAGGTTCCCCCGCGTCCTCGTCGTCACTCCGCGAAACTTACGGTGCGAAAGTAACTTTACGAATTAATTCGCAACTTGGGAGGGTAAACACGCGAACATACATCGCGAGCTACCGAGGCAACTACCCTCCTCACGGAGCGAGTCCCGGAGACCGATATTTCAGTTATTCGGAGGTTAAAGCCACGGTATTTCCCAACGATGCCGACCCACCGTCGTCCGAAATACATCGCGTCGAATTTGCGGAGATACGGCAGGTCAGGCGAGCAATCGGGAATGCGATTATTCCGCACCGCGTGCGTTAAAGCGCGCGCGATGATCGAGCGGTTCGTCACGGTGAAAAGTGCGCGACTCGACCGTACGCTTTCGCCGGGAACCGTGAAAAATGCACTCTAAAAAGTCATGAGAATCAAGTTCACGTTAATCTCTTCAAAAAGTTTCGTAAAAAGAGGGACGAGTAGAGAAACACTGTTGCGCGCTCGTCTCCGCGCAATTGTCGCCTCGACGATCGAGTTACCGTATACTAGGGATGTTCCACTCTAAATCGGTTCTTTTCAGAAAAGAATCGAATTTTTCTCCTCATAAAAGTCGATCTTGTTAAATCGATTCTTTTCTATGCGAATATCTCTACTACCTTCTTTCCTTCAATGTATGGTTTCAGCGATCCGGTTAAGGGTTAGTGCCCAACGCTATTTAACGATTTACACGAGAAGTCAGCTTTATATCCGTATTTCAGTGCAGATAAAAAACCTGTATTTCTACAAATTAAGTCTAATAGATCTAATGAATTTATAAGTGGCTCTGAAAGCTTGTAGGCTCTAGGTCCCTATAATAAGAGTCTGGACACCGTGGCCGCAATATTCGGCCCATAAATCGGAAGTTCTCAGCCAAAATATCGAGAAATGTTCAAATACTATTAACACATTGTTGACCGGTCACGAGTTAACTCGTGTCTTCCTGCTCAAACGTTGCTGACCGGCCACGAGTAAACTCGTGATCGATGCGCTTTTGTTTCGCATCGATCACGAGTTGGGTCAGTACATTCTCGGAGATCATACAGTGTAATTGTTGTTCAACATACTACAAGCTGTGTCTTTCGCTAATAAAACCCGTCAAGTTGTGTCCCCTTTGAAATAAAAAAAATTTTAATAAATTCTAAGTAAAATTGCCGGTCAACAATGTGTCAAAAAAGTACTAGGAATTTTGGTTTAAAATTGATTTTTAAATAAAAATATTATGATAATTATTAAAAAACCATTTTTGTAATAATACCTAAAATGCATCCTATTTTATAATTTTTTAAAAATTCGTAAAAATTTATTTTCAAGTAAAAAAAGTTATGATAATTATTAAAAAAACATAATTTTTTTTTCAATAATACCTAAAGTCCTATTTCACAATTTCTGAAAATTTGACAAACATTGCTTCATCAATAAAAATGTTATGACGATTTTAGTAACGTGCAAGTTTGCTCAAAAACGTGCGGTCCCAGGCGTATGTCTTACAGATTTCTTAGCGGTCCGCAATGTGTTAAAATAGGCGAGAACCAAAATAAATTCATAATTAATTACTGTAAAGTACTGTTCGATCTTAGATCGATTTTTCAGAAAAACAATTTTTCCTCGAAAAATTTTATTAAATCGATTTTTTCCATACGAACATCTCCCTATCGTATATCTGCAATTTGATGCACGTCGAGTTACTCGCGCACGAGGATACGATGTTTAAAAATCAAATTGCTACGTAAGGCATCTCTCTGTTGTACCGAGCACTGTCTCGGCCCGATATATCCTCGATATGCACGCAAATTTCCGATAGCTCTCATAAAACAAGATCTCGAGTTTCTCTCGGCGGAGCCACTTATTATTTCTCGTAACGCGATCCTCTATTGGCATTCTTTTATACGTTTTGCATATACGAAGGACTTTATTGCTCTTCGTTGGCAGCGACGACATACCGATGACACACACACTGAAATATATAGCGGACGCGTCGAGCTGCACCCGCCGCGCGAGGAATTACCGATCCTGGAAAATGTGGGAAAAAACAACACGATCTATTTTCCTTCGTTCATGCATATCTCTTCATTTCCTTCTTTTAGTCACCTCTCTCACCACTTTATTTTTCTAATGCTCCATAACGTATGTATGCAGAGAGGAAAGGATTTCTTTGGATTTTCTTTTGAAATCATATTTCTCGAATTGAAACACAAATTTGTCTTTTGGAATAGAGCAAATAAACAAATATTTGATTCAATAAACAGAATTGTTTGGTTTCTTAAATATCTTTACGTCAAATAACATATTCCTTCGGCATTTTTATACAAACATTACAGCAATAAATTATTTGAAAGTACACCAGGTTAGACAAATATTATCAGAGTTTGCCACAGATCTGGAAAATCGAGATAAGCTATGAAAATTTAAAATGTCAAAAAAATCTAAAAAAAGTCGGGGAAAGATAAAAACTTGGAATTTTGAGCTTTGCTCACAATTCCTTTAAATATTTTCAGCAAACAAAAGCTGTATTCTTTTCTTCAATACTCATTTTCTGTTGGCCAGAATTTGCATTCAGGATTATATTATATTACTAAACTTTTAAGTTTGCGTTGCTTCTAACAATATAAGCTATCTTGCCTGCACTTTCTGCTTCTAAGCGTTAAAGTTTAAGATTACACATTGTTCACGGAAAATTCTACACTGTCGTCTGGAAATCATGGAGAAGTTAAGCAATTTCATAGTTCACTTTCTATGTCAACTCTGAATATTAAAGAACTTTTCATTGTGTTTCAGTAGAACAATATGTAATATATAATGAAACAGGTTGTTTTTATTAAAAAAAAAAATATTATTTTCTCTAAATAATACTGTTTTTCCACCAAACAATATAATTTACTCCAGTTAAACATTTTCACTCAACTGAAATGATATCTAATATTAAATCATGTTTGTTTATATTAAACAAACCCAAGTCAAACAAATGTACCGAATCCAAAGGAACTTTTTCTCTGTGTGTGTGTGTACATATGCACGTCGCACGAATCATCCCCCCTCCTTTCCACGGCATTCGTTCTTTTTATTCTCGCACATCGCGCGAATATCTCCATACTTTCGCAAAACCGGGCGTTTTCAATTAAAGCCAATCGATATTCCACGTCGCCCATGAAGCATTTTCCACGCACAATGCCACGACCTATAGGCCCGTTTTCGGAGCATCGATATTCCCGAGATCGTGCACCAAGTCTGTCAAGAGAGAGTCGTTATCTTTCAACCTCCCCCCCTCCTCTCCGTCACGGGTAATCCCGTTGCGCAATACGCCGCGCTCCCGAAATCAGCCGTATTCCGGGTCTCGAATTCACAGCGAAAAGCGGCGAACCGGCAAAACGCGATACGCAAGAAATTCTCCTCTCGGTCGGCGCAGATACCGCAAGCCGTAAACACTGTATAAATACCGACGCGAACCGGCTGCCGTTTACGTTAAACGCGCACACGTAACACGCTTCTAACGAGACACGCACGGTGGCATCGTCGCACACGATTCGTTTACGCGACGTTTGCTCCATTTGTTGGCACAATCCAACGAAACGATTCTGCTGGCCGCGAAAATAAAGGAAATTTCATTAGCGGGAATATTACATTTCGCATATTACGCTGACTCTGTCGACGTAATAACGCGTATTATTTACGGTTACGTGAATCGCGCGTAGGCGAGAGACACTTTTTAATCTAACGACCATCCGAA